GGAAAAATCCAGCACAGTCCTCAATCCAACAGCAGTGACTACATAAACAAAACAGTTGGTCTATGTGGAACTGATGGCTCAGTTCATAGATACAGACACTCAGAGCAGCCTGTCACATGATGTAATACTTTAATACAAGCACTTCCTGGGTGGGTTTCCAAGAGTCTAATTTACTTATGTAAAGAGCTAAGCACAGAGACCACTTTCATACACAGAAACCACTGTGTTTCAAAATGGCTGTAATCATACTGTACGTGGAGAGATACATAACACTTTATCTCATTATAACATCAGGTAAACTTATAATTAATGTACATGTTGATGCAGTTACTTTTAATATCACCTTTGTGATATTAAACAGACTTTTTTTATTTTCTTAATACAGGTGTCTATGCAGATACAATTGGTCCGAAGGAGGAAGATGCCAAACTTGTCAAAAAGGAAACAGATGTTGTTACTTTGAAATGCTCATATGAGTCAACCAGCAGAGAAATATATCTTTACTGGTACAGACAGCGTGTTAATGAAGCTCCAGAGTATTTACTGTATAAAGGAGCAAAATCATACAGTAGTCAGAAGAGTACCCCCACTGACACTCGACTTAAAGCAACAACAACTGATACATCTACTGGACTTATTATCAGTGGACTAAAGCTCACAGACTCTGCGCTCTACTACTGTGCTCTTAGAGACGACACAGTGATACAAAGTCCCTGAGAGGCTGTACAAAAAGTTATTTCCTTACTACACCATGATATCAGTGAACCACAAACCCAGATAAAAACACTGCTAACACCTGCTGCTGGAACAAATAGAAAACATGAGTAAAGTGTTTTAACACATTACAACCACATATTCCACTCTCAAAACAGAAATACAATGTATGATCTAAAGTCATTCCTTTTATATCTTAGATTTATGAAGATGTGAAAAAATGTGAAAAGCTGTTATATATGACTGCAGACATGCATATATGTGTAAATGATCAATGATCATACTGTTCGTATGTGTCTTTATTTATTTATTTGTTTATTATTTTAATAGTATGACTAGTCCTTTCTGTGTGGCATTTGCACATTCAGTATCAACTCTACATACAAAAAGCTGTCATATCTTAATGCTTTTTTCTCCTGTAATCATAAAACTGTTATGTCATTTAGTGTCAATATTGTCAACAGTTCGCCTTGTCAAAATACATTTCATGTTTCGATCAGGAAAGTCTTAAATGTCTTTGATGTAGTGAATATTATGTTTAACACAGTAAAAGAAAGTTCAACAGCACAGACTAATGTGAAATTCATTAAATCAGAAGAGAGTTTTTCAGTGTATTTCTTCGTGGCCACTATAAATTTCTCTTCTCTGATTTCTGTCTTCTGCATTTTTTTCAAAAAAAAACAATGAAATCTCTCAGTTTCAGATTGATTTGTTTTCTTTGTACTATTTTCAAATACATGTAAAGTTTTAATGATTTACACATCATTGTATTCTGTTTTTATTACATTTTGCGCAGAGCTCCAACTTTGGAAAAAATGGTTGTATTCTTGCACAAAGACAGAACGCACAGTGGAGCAGCTCCCCAGAGCAGGAGTTTCCTGTTGTAGTTTCTCATAACTGCACTCACTTCAGAGAGACTCACACTAACACACAGATCAGCATTAGAGCACTGAGGGCTTAAACACACTACTGACTCCATCTGATCATATTCACAATGAAGAGAAACCTCCTCATCATTCTCATCATCACATCAGGTACTCACTGTGAAGATGTGCTTAGAAATATTTAAACAATGACATTTTATTATAATTTCAAATAATCTTTTCATTCTACTTTTCTTTCAGGTGTGTTTTGTGCTGATCAAATTGGACCTTCAGTGGATCAGGAGACTGATGTTTTTAAAAAAGAGGGAGAATCTGTTAAACTGAAATGCTCTTATGATTCAAGTAGTGATTATGTGTATCTCTACTGGTACAGACAGTATCCTAACAGAGCTCTACAGTATTTACTGTATAGAGGAGCTCGATCAAGGAGTAGTTATAGCAACACTGCAGACAGAAGATTTGAGTCTATTGCATCCAGTTCATCCACTGAGCTCAGTACTGGAGAACTAAGACTGGCAGATACAGCTGTCTACTACTGTGCTCTTAGAGTTGAAGCACAGTGCTACAAAGTCTCTGAGACGCTTTACAAAAACTCACACACCTTCTGTTTGCTTTGAACCTAAGGAAATGAAAGTAACATTCAAACCACAATGTGTTATCTGTTATTACACTCTGTCTGAAATAACTGTTTGTGGTAACACAGAAACAGAAAAAGAAAATTAGAAGACCAAATTTTAATTGTACAAATGTAATATATGTTCAAGTAAATTTTTCTTGTTGCAGAAATCAAGAAAGGACAATCCTAATAAATGCCCTTTTAAATTAACACAGTTTAAATGTAATATTCAAACACATTATTTAACCCCTTTAATCTCAGGCTTATTACATACTAAGGCTCATTATTCAGTAACTTCAGGGACTCCAATGCCACCTGGCTGAGCTATTCTTAGGTTATAGAAGTGTGTAATAAAACTGGCTTTTTTAAGATGTTAACCAGATTATATTTAGCTCATCATTCAACTGTTATTATTAGAAAACTATTCACTCTGCCTTCATCTTTTCACCATCCATGGTGCATAATAACATCAAAAACTTCAGAAAATCCAGAGAAATCTTTGTGTGTAAAGGGTAAGGCTGAAAAACAACTGAATGCCTGTGACCTTTGATCGTTCATGTGGCACTGCATAAAAAAATGGGCATGTATGCAATATGAATAGGGTTCTTCTGTTGTTACAATGCCAAAAAGGTTCTATACAGAATCATGTACAACACTTTGTCCATCAATCTAAGAACCATTTCACCATGAAATGAATCATGTTAGGATTCCAATTAGTCTTTGAGTGTTCATGGCTCTATATAAAACCATTGTTGAAGAACCACATTTTTGAGAGTGTAAGACCTACATGACTGATGTATTGGCATGATCTCTGTGAAGAAATTGTGATCATTTTAATTCACTGTTTCTAGTGTGTTATGTAGATCCTATCATAAGGTCTCAAACACACTGGGGGGTGCAGCTTTCTCACAGATGTAACAGATGTGGAAACCTCAGAGAGTGTCAGAAGGTGGAGCTGTGAGCTTAAGTCAAAAAGAAACCTTCACAGAAGACAGACCTAATTTCTGAATTTTCATCTTGCTGTCATTTTATTAAATCATGATGTTCTCCTGTGCTTTTCTGATTCTTTCAGTATTAACAGGTAAGAGATACTTTAAACTCCTGTTTTTCATTTAGATAATCTTCAGAATTTGTTTACATTAGCATTTCTGTTTTCTTTTCTGACAGGTGACTCTTTTGAAAATGTGATAACATCTCATGGGTCTGTTGAACCTGCCAGAGTTGGTGAGAGTGTTACTCTCTCCTGCAACTACAGTGTTTCTCCATATGGCCTGTTTTGGTATCGTCAATATTCCAGATCCAAACCAGAATTCCTCCTCTTCTTCACTGAATCTGGAGATCCTGTTAAAGCTGATTCAGCAGCACAGTCAACTGCTATAGCTGATAAAAACAGCAAAGTGATGAACCTGGTGATCTCCTCTGCTGCAGTATCAGACTCTGCCCTATACTACTGTGCTCTGACGCCCACAGTGACAGGAAACCCAGCTACACTGTACAAAAACACTGTATGGAATGGAGCTCTGCACTTGGTCATGTACTTTTGTGTGTATACAATGTGTAACTTGTTGACCATTGTTCCATGATAATGTTGAAAATGGTGGTTAAAAAACAAATAGACTACCAAGAGAATCCCTGACCCTGTTAGAAGTAGTTCATGACCTGCATTTGCTGTGACTCACACCTGCATGAAGTCACTTTTGTTTTGTCTCAGAGAGCATTAAAATAAGTATTACAAAATGTTTAGACCCATCATGCCTAAAACCAGACTTCTGCTTAAAGCTACACTAAGTAAGCTTTGAGATTTGTGGACCTCTCTCAGGGAAATGTGTGATTCCACACAAAGCAGTAGGACGTTTTGTAATGTCAGTTGTACTTCAGAACCCACCACCCCATCATGCAGAGGGCCATCCTACCCACCCAGAGAGAGCGAGGCCAGTTGTGATCTCTTTGACTCCTGGTCACAGACAGCTGTAGTATCACCAGGGATCAGACTCATGATCATCTGATGACAGAGCCAGCACTTACAGGGTTTCACCACAGAACAGATGACATAGGTTAGCCATTTTTTCTCCTGACTCAGTAATGCTACTTCTTTCAGTTTTAACAAAACCGATCTTACATTATGCAGCCTTAAATGATGAATGACATTCATTCTGCAGAATAAATATCTGGATTGAAAGACACAGTGTCCATTTAAAGTGTTGTAATTCACACGGAACATAAAAATTTCAACATCAATATGATAATGAATTATATCTGCATCTCTTTACACTCTAGGATTGGTGGCTAAATGTTTACAAGGTGAACAGTATACTCTTTTAAAAAAAAAAGCTGCCAAAAAGGGTTCTTTGTGTGTTTAGTACAGATATGTGAGCCTAAAGATTGTTTTTTTATAGAATAAAGAACCTCAACATGATGTAAAGGATCTGAAACAGACCTTTAAATTGGTATAAAACATTTACATTTACTTTAAGTTCTTTAACACTTTAAAATGTTCTTCACATTCACACATCACTTTTTACAACATACATCTTTAGGGAACCAAAAAGCACACTTTTCCATTGTATGAAAAAAAAATGTGCCAAGTTTGGTGGTTGTTTTATCGGCTGTAAAATGCTTAAAATTATTGAGCGTAGAATAATAAGAAGGTCAAGATTACATAGAACAGTAAGTTTACTTTGTCAAGACAACTTAACAATGAAAATGTCAAGTGCATACATGTTGTGCAAAGCAGGATCAGATGGTTGTTACAGACTCTGGAAAGCAGAATAAGATGAGTTGTTCGGTCAGTGGGAGGAGCTGAGTGTGTGTAGAGAGTAGAGATGATCAGCACACTGCCATGCTGACATGCTGAGGAGCTCAAACTCAGTGTGTGTTCTTCTCCCAGTGCTGACCACCATGATCATTTTCACTGTACTGCTGCTCTCAGCTCTCAAAGGTAAAGCTTTCAGAGATTATAAAAAGTAGAAAACAAACTTAACTGCATCTGATTTTTCGGATGTGGATTAAGCTCAGTCTTAGACTAAATTGCAGTGCTTTTGGTGAATCGCCATTTAAAATTATTTTTAGTCCTGCCTTAGGCTTAATCTGGGTCTGGGAAGCTCATCCATAAAGAAGAACTATAAAATTATTAAAGCTAGATTTCATTATTTATTTATTTATTTAGACTGTGTGAACATTAATGGAATGGCCTTTCAACTGTTGTAGGTAACAAAGCTGAAGATGTCATCACTCCAAGCAGAGATGTTGTTTTTGCTGTTGAAGGTCAAAAAGTAACACTTTCCTGTAACTACAGTGGAACCATTTATAGTCTTCACTGGTATCGACAGTATTCAGGTTCATCTCCACAGTTCCTCATACTGGACTATAATGGAATAATTACTAAAGCTCAACCTGCAGTTCCTGGAATATCAATTAAACACATAAAACAACAGAAGAAAGTGAATCTGATAATCTCCTCTGCTGCAGTATCAGATTCTGCACTCTACTACTGTGCCCTGGAGCCCACAGTGACAGGAAACCCAGCTACACTGTACAAAAACCCCCTATTATACCGTCTACTATACACAACTTAAAGCGTTAGATACTGTACAAAGCCTGTTCATGAATAATGATCTCTCTTTTCAGAATGTTTCAGAATCTACAGTATGAAGGTTTAAACTTGAAGATAACATGTTTGACTTTTATTTTGTCATTATACATTACATGTCAAACTGAAGAGATCTTATATTATTTTTGCATTGTCTATTAAACATTATATTTCTCTGAAATCTTGAAAACATTAATCAGTATATTCAGTTTAGGAATATAATTATGATCTAAATGAAGGCTTATGTCTGTTTTGTCTCAGGGTGAAACAAAGTTGTATTGATGCACAGAGATGTAATGAGGGAAACTGTCCACAGGAGGGTAGACTTCACCTAGATTTAACTGAACACAAACTCTTGTTATTGTGTCTTATGTGAAAGTTTAATTAAAGAGAAGGACTGTTTAAACATGCTTAAGACACGATAGCAGGTTCTGAGCCAAATAATACATTTAGGCATTGCATTACTGTTCTGTTCTGTTCTGTGGATTCTTTTTCTCTTTTTTAGGTAACTCATATTATTAATATGTATGCTTAAAAAAATAATAATAATTAACTTCAGAAGGAACTGAATCATTTTCTATGAATGAAAATGTTCTGTATTCTAGATACACAAGTTCAGAATCTTGATCAGTGAGTATAAATATGAACAAAAAGCTATAAAATAGATTCAAATCAATAAATTAAAATAAATGTTATGGCAAATATATTCACAAATTGATTCTAATACTATGCAAATATACAAGAATGTTTAAAAGGTTAGTACACTATAACTTTCAAAATAATTTAAAGCTTAAATTTGTCGGTGTATGTAGCACTTTTTTTGTGTTTCCTGACAAAATCATTTGAAAGATATTAATAACATGTGATAAGGTTAGTAGGTTCAACAAAGTCTGGCTCAGTCATAGGAATACAATCAAATAATTAGTTAGAAAACCTAAAAAAATCTAAGTATTTTGATTTAAGTTTAATTTGGAAAGTAGCCAAGAAGATAAGAGAGCATTTTAATATGAAACATACGAGCATCATGTTATATGCAAGTGCCTTTAAAGGCAAATTTGATAAGATATGCCAAAAATGAGGAAATGTCCTTTTACCCCAGAGGGTTAACTCTGTGAACTTACTGTCATATTTCACTCAGCCATTGTCATATTTAACCATAGTGGATGCACATAATCTTTGATTTAACTCAGTAACAGGCCTATTTCACTCCTCCACTGGCACATTTCACTCAGTTCTTGACATATTTCACTCCATACTATATTAAACCCCACAAAAAATGTGTTAAATCACATGTGGCTTTAGCTTACAGTGAAAGGGCAATCAGTATAAAATCTTAATGAGAAACAGATAAACGCTAATCATCTGATACCTCGGTTAACCTTGCTAGCCTAGCCATGGCTTATAACTTATATATCTTATTTGCCAGCTACTTATTCAAGTTTTCCATTCTTTAAATGGTACAGCAATTATTTTCTGGTGTCAGTGAGGGGTTTGTGTTACTTAGCTGATTCTAAAATGTGATGACTCTACTAAATGATGTTAGAAGTTTTGTATGGTTGAATCTATACGATTAAGATAAAAAATAAGCTTCAGCTTGATGTTTATCAGAACTATCACAGCTGTGCTGGCTAAATAGAGCTGTGTCCAAATAGTTGAACTTTCATTTTCTGCCTGCTTTCCTTGATGTTTCTCTGATTTTTTTGATATTGTAGTCATGTAGATCCACATGCTAGGCGACTTTGCAAAAGTATGTAGTGAGTCTGTGGGCTACAGATCAGCCAAAATCAGGGAAAGTAGGTAGAAAAGGAAGATTCATTCAACTATTCGCAATCAGCCTATACTCACTAACCCTGCCATGATGGCTGATCACCCATAAGACACTGCGCATTACATCACTGTCCAAAGCTATATAAGCATACAAATACTCGTTAGCTTCAAAATACAATCGTCTTACAAACAATTCAATCAACTCCACACACAAAGAACTGACATATTACATAGCTGATATATTTGTGTTCTCAATGCTTTTATTTTTTATATTAGGTGAAGCACTTATGCCAAATAATGTTAACATTGAACAGTTTGTTCTGTCAGAATAGATTTTATGTTTCAGTCTGGAAATCATTAACTTAAATCATCTTTGATGAAGCGAATATTGTGTTTAATGCAGTGAATTAAAGTTGCAGTTGCTGAATATAATCCGCCACCTTCCAGTTGATGGCTCAGCTCTCCTACCACTAGGCTACCAGCCACCCCAATTGAGAATGCAACCTTTAGTCTGACACTGGTAACACATACATAGTAAAGTCTTCAGGGTTGAATTAACACCAAATGAACAGTCGTGTGGTTACATCAGCTACAAAATTTGTCAATTACCACTTTATTTATAAAAAGCTTTTATATTTTTATTTATGTATTTGTATATGTATTTATTCAACTACTAATTATTAATTTTGTTTTAGTTCGTGCTTGTGGTTTAAC